GTCTGTCTGCTTGATCAATTACAAAAAAAAAAGAATGTCAAAATTATTCAGGAAAATAAGATTTTCTTATTAAAGTGGTAAAATGTTGTGTTGCAAAACTGAGTACGCCCTCCTGAAAGTTACAAAAAAAAAAGGCAATTTTTGATCAACAGGTAAGTATGCTGAACCAAAACTTTTAAAGACAAGTAATTTCCTGACAATTAAAAGTGTTATATAGCCTACTGAATCATACTCGGACTTAATGCTGACAACAATGGGAGAGAACTGCCAGGAGACTTATTTCGTAGCACAAAAGAGGACAATTGTATAGAGGAATACCAAATCATTGTTTTAAGTGTGAAAATATTGCAAAAGTAACACCGACATTCAAAAACAATGGCCCCTGAAATAATCAGGCTTTCACTTTAAGTTTTCATTTAGTGATGTGCTTTTTATTTTTATTTTTTTGCTAAAAAAGAGAAGGAGAAATATCATGCAAGTGTCTCAGAGCCAGCAAAAGCTGTGAAAAGAGTGACTGTTTATCTCACAGAGTAAGATGCAGCCTGCAGAAGTGACATGCATGGTTGTTGTCACCACAGAAACTACCTACTGTAGCCAAAGCACAATGAACTCATTTAACCTTTTCCAAGGCTCATATTTACAAAATATAGACTTCTGGGAATTCATACTCTGGTCTCAAGAGACCAAGTCAATCATTTTGGATCCAAAAGCATCCAAAATGTTCTGGTGTTGCTAGAGGAGGCATACAGTGAGAACTGTCTTTTTCCCACAATGAAGTTCAGTGGTAGAAAAAACTCTTATATAGGGATGAAAGAGAGCTACCTATAGTATATCAACAATCTGTGAAGAACAAAATTAATTAATCTGACAGAATACAGACCTGTTAAAGCTGTTCAAAATGATGGTATACCAATGGAAAATCTTATCTTTTAAGTTCGTTTAAAGATTTTTGTGTTATTAATATGTACTATTTGTTGACCCAGTATAGTACTTTTTGCCGCAAGGTGTATTGTTATTACACTGAAGGAAAATATTGTGCTTTTTTCATTTATGGACTGGTCTTTGCGGGACTTTACCAGATAGAAAGCAGAGTAACATGAGGGAAATACCAGAAAGAGAACTCGTGGAACAATTGGCAAGCAATTAGAGAGCACAGAAAGCACTGGAAATCAAATAGAGAGCACAGAAAGCATTAAGTGAAACAGAGCTGATGGAAATATTTATTAAACAGAAGAATCAGGAAGTGCAATAGTTTTGAAATGACAAGGGGAAATAACAACAGAAGTAACAGTTCATAATGATATTTGAATTAGTACAAATAAATATGCTAAGATATATTCTGTACACCCAGCCTTTGTTCACTGTATCTGAACAGCAGTGTCTGCTAAATGCATAACTATTTAATTTTAAATATATATAACACAAATAAAGTATTCTGAATTCTATTATTAGATTGACTTCAAATGTCCACAAAAAAAAGGTCTTAAAACCATGTACTGGCAGAACCTGTGAAAGGGTTTCCTCACTACACCAACAACTGATTTGGAGGTTTGACGAAATTGCAAAGCAGGCTCAGTCCTAGGGGAGATCTAGTATATTGACCTGAAACATTGCATTTAATGCTTTTAACACAGATTATTTCATTGGTGCTTTGCCTGGCCAGACAACATGGCTGACAAATAAGTTTACATTCCTTTTTACCATCCAGGAACACTTGGCATAATGTGGTAAATGTGTTGTGTTGCTATACACAAGACAAAGAGAAAATGTTTAACAGTTTTTCT